TTAGAAAAGAATACACCAGGACCAAACGGAACAAAGGTATCAGAGGAAGCCTAACATGGAATTACAACTCTTCAGAATGCTGCCTGACCATCACAGGCACAGGAAGAGGAAAGAAACAACATCAAGTATTTACAGGAAGACAGGAAAGCTCTGCTCTGAAAACTGCTCAGGGGCCTTGACTCAGTGAGCAATACATCAGACAATTTGAAGGGTACTATATTATATTGAGAAACGGAAGATACTTAAAATCAACAAAAGGAATTCTAATAGCACAAGTAGCTAGTAGTAATTTACATATTTAAGATCAATATACGGCCTACTTTTAAAACACATGAGCCTTTGTTTGCAACAAAAGCCTATTTTATAATAATGAAAATCAGAATAAAAGGGCCAGAAATAATATACCACAAACAATATACCATGTACAGGAAACTGCAAGAAACTGACCAAAGGGACCTTTAAGAAAGCTGGTGTTTCAACTTTATTCAAACAGTATTATTTGAATATTAAATTAAGTGCCTGGTGTGTGCAATGAGCATAGATAACCGGACACACACATTTAGGCTATTTTCCTACCTAGATGCTAATGGCTAACTGACACCACATAGCATCTGATGGCCAAGGCAGACTGAGGTTGCGGTTAGTTATACTGCTACAGAACACTACTGTATGTCTGCCTAAGGCCTTACACACAGTAGTAGGCATCCCTACCTCACCTTAAGAACTACTTTTAGGCTAGCTGTGGTGATGCACAAATTTTAATCTCAGCATTGGGAGACAAGGGCAGGGGGATCTTTTTGAGTTCCAGACAGTAAGGGCCACGTATTGAAACCCTGTCTATAAAACAAAACAAACACAAGAATGAACTCCTCGGGTGTCTGAAGTTCAAGTACTACAAACAGCTGGGTAGACAGGAGCTCTAGAACAAGCAGGTTGATGGTTACCAACTGCTTACTTGTTGTGATGCTCAGTCGCTTAACATTTTGGGCAGTGTGTTTCATTTGATTTTAAAAACTCTGAAGAGATTCTGTTATTCCTATTTTCCAATAAGGAAATGACACATACAGAAAGGTTGAATAACATGACAAAGGTCATGCCCAGCCCAGTCTTAACTTTTACTGTATTTTTTTAGTTTATCATAAAATTAACTAAAATCCTTGTCATATTCTAATATCTATAGCAAGTAGTAAGTTAATATCCATAATCCAGTTATGTAAACCATTCAATACAGATAGCATGTCAAGTAAGTGTGCTTACCTGTAGACTTTACAACTGAGTCTAATAAGAAAAAACAGTTTTGGTTTGTTGGTTGCTGTTTTGCTTTTTGGTTTGTTTGTTTGTTTGTTTGTTTTGGGTCACTACCTTGTTTATCTGGTCACTCAGTAAAAGGCTGAGTTCAGGAATATATATATATATATTTTTTCCACAGGAATGAATATATATATATCTCCAATGTCTTCCACAAGGCTAGGGACAATGGCTACAGAAATATTTTGTTTCTCATTATGACATAACTAGGACTAAATGACATATCTACTATGACTGCTCCCAAATGCACTAAGAAACCAAGAGAATGCCTTGGTTTTAGGTTGTAGACTTGTATATGCACAATTATATATACATACATTCTAAAAGGAACTTCAAGACTAAGATATTCCTAATGTTAGGTCACTAGTAAATCTGCCAAAAGTGTAAAAGAGAAAACTAACCATGAAACAAAAAGCAGTGGTAGCAAAAGTACTTCCCATATCTTTCTACTAATTTAACATTTCAATTTAATCAGTAGCTTATGCTAGCCACTTATCCACACTGGCTTGATTAATTTGACAAGTCTTTTATATTTCTCTGTTTATGCAAACATGCTTTGGATACTGAGTAAAGGCCACTCAGGAAAGGAAGGGGGGTGGCAGAACCTGTTTCCCTCCACCCGCACACACACACACCACCTTATTTACCTGTATAATTACTAGGTTAACAAGATGCAGTTTGGGGGATGGAGAACTAGCTGAGTGAAGAAGAGCCCTTGCTGCACTTGGAAAGATGGGGTTCACCTCCCAGCACCCAACTTGGTGGCTTACAACCATCTCTAGCTCCCTGTCCAGAGGCGCTTCGTCTGAGGGCATCAGGCACACACACTGTATACATACATAGGTAGGCAGATACACATCAGAGTAGATGAATCTTTATAAGCTATCTTTAAAGCATTCATTAAAGCTTTTCACCCCCCAATCCCATAGATAGAGGTTAACATTTTTTTCACATTAGCATATATATCAAGTGAAAAGTCTGGATGGTAGTCTGTTACAATCAGCAGAGCGCAGAGACAACAGGAAATGTGGACAGATACTTCCTGTTAACAATTCTGAGTTTCAAAGTATCCACTTGAGCTATTTACTTCTTGTCCCTATACATGGTGGTTCTGTCGGGGATTTAAAAACTAAAATCTTTTTTTAGATTTTATTTTATGGTCACAAGTGTTTGCCTCCATAATGTATCGTACCACCTGCATGCCTAGGGCCCAAGGGTGTCAGCAAAAGGAGGGTATCAGATGCCCTGCAATCAGTTAGCAATGGTTGTGAACCACCACGTGGGTGCTGAGAGTTGAACCTGGGTCCTCTACAAGAGCAACAAGAGCTCTCAACTGCCACGTCATTTCTCCAGCCCACATGGAAGACTGAAGAACACTTCTTTCACTACACGTGTATTCATGCATGCATACATCCACAAGCAAGAGCACCCGCAGCACGTGGACATTTGCCTGTCGAAGTTCGAGGACAACTTTAGGGAGTCGGCCTCTCCTCCCAGCACATGGATCCTTCCTGGCATTGTCTTGCCAGCCCTCCATTGTAGGGTTTTAAACAAATTGTGTTAGTATTATCTTACAATATTCTTATTCTAATCTGAATTCTTATTTATAACTAAGTGGATTTTATAGCCCTTGGAAACCTTACTGACATTATTTCTGAAGGAAATAAATGATATGATAAGGTAGTTTTTAAGGCTTAAAAACTGTATAAGATAACAGCTTTCAATTTTAAACTAAAAAAAAAAAGAAAACCAACAGAAAAAAACAAAAAAACCCCAACCACCCACAATGGACAGGCACCAATATACACAGGCTAGCCTTAATTATCTCTAGAAAGCTAAAAGGACTCTAGTTACCTTTTCTAGGCATCAGGAGGTTCTTCAATACTAAGAACCCTGAAGATTCACCAATACACAGTGCCTTGCCCTGACAGCTTTGAATATTCTTGGGAGTGCTGAGGAAAGCTATGATATGCGCACAGGGACCTGAGCTGGAGCCCCAGTATTAGAATGGGAGGGAACGCAGGAGCAGCCCTGTGGCTTTCTGGCTGAGGCTTTCTGGCTGGTTTAGCACAAGTGTAGGCTCTAGCTTCAGTGAAGTCTCTTCCTGAGAACTTAAGGTGGAGAGGGAATGAGGAGGACTCCCACCACAGGCTGACCTTTGGGCAGCCTGGGAGTTTCTAGTAGACGGTTTTTAAGACGCTTGAAAGTAGCACTTTCACAATCCTTTTCCAAAGAAGACATTATTATCAAAGACTTTCGAATCCATCTCAAAACCGACTTTACATTTCTAAACAATCCCAAACATACCGGGCTTCACATCTGTTTTGGCGGCAAACCCTGCTCTGCTATTTACTTTCCCTAAGCACTGATGTGAGTCCACTTCTGCTGTATTCACCTCATTTAATGGGGTCACTCATGCTTCATGTGCACAGAACCTTGTCATCTCACTACACTAGAAAACAGTCACCCTAAGTCTCAGTATGAAAATACCTACCAACAATCCAGGGACAGAGGAAGTCTGAGTTCTAGGCCAGCCTGTGGTCAATCAGGCCAATCAAGGTTATAAACTGAGAAACCCCATCTCAGAAAAAAACAAAACCAGAAACAACATAGTCAAGTACAATCATTGTAACACTTTCAAAAAAGGAGTGCAAGCAGCCACTCATGATGAACCTCAAGAAAGGCAAAGCATTCAATTCTTTATATACATTTTTTTTTCAATTAAAAGTTTTTAAAATGGAAGGCTGGAAAGACGGCTCCAGCATGTATCACTCTAGCAAAGGGCCCAAGTTCCAGCACCCACATCCGGCTAGCAACTTCCTGGAATTTCAGTTCCAGGGCTCTGCCCACCTCTTCTGACATCTGCGGGCATCTGTAAGAACGTGGTTCATACACACACACACACACACACACACACACACACACACACACACACGGGCACATACAGATGAAAAGTAGTCCTGGTGACATTGCCTGTAATGTCAGGACTCAGGAGGCTGAGGCAGGACTGCTAGGAACTCAAGGTCAGTAAAAGCTCTAACTCACCATCGGAAAACAAAACAAAAAACTCAGCCAACGAACAGGAACGCTTCACATTCCAGAGAAACAGTATGAGTTTTCTGTCACTAAACGATGGCAAAAGCCCTGCCATGGTGTACACACCTGTAATCCCATCAGGAAGCTGAGGCAGGAGGATTTTCAGTTTAAGGGCAGCCCTTGTTACACAGGGAAGCCCCAAAACCTCAAAAACAACAGCAGCAGCAGCAACACAGCCAGTAAAATCTAAGATTCAAGTGATAGTGCTTACTGGAAGGAAAGAAAGCACAAATGTATAAAAGCTAGCTAAGATGGAAGAAATCGCACTTTTTTTTTTTTTTATAGTAACCAGGACTGCATAAATAGTACTCAGTGGCAACCTGTGACGAATTTGGCTGTCCTGGACATAAAATGTGACTTCAGTATGTTCCCTAATTCAGAACCGTGACAACACCTGAGCACTTAAGTACTTAATACAGGCAGCAGCAGAGTGCGCTTTTTAACTCTCCTCCTCCGTCACCGGGGTTAGCTCATGGAGGCAGAAGCTCTCTAGTACTAATCCCTGAAGTGGGCACTGAACATCGATCGATTCCTTCTCTAAGTCAAGCCGCAATCCTGTTCTCTAGTGTTAACTGTCCATCCAAGAGTGCTGTTCAACGGCCTGACTTCTCTTCAGATCACCTAATCTCTGCCTTTTACTCAAGGTTTCAGTGGAAAGGAGCAAGTCTGGCTTTTTAACCAATTTATTTTTTATTTTTAATTATGTATGTGTATGTAGGTAGGTATGTGTATGTGAGTGCTTGTGTCCAAGGAAGAGGTCAAATCATCAGACCCCAAGGCTGAAGCTGTAGACAGCTGCTAGGCACCAAAGCAGGTCCTCTGCAAGAGCACTCCAAGATTCCAATAGCTGAGCATCTGTAACTGAATTTTACATTGTGTGTGTGTGCGTGTGTGTGTGTGTGCTGCACAAGAGCATGCAATGGTGTGCATGGGACGTCCCAGAACAACTGTGGGAGTCAGCTGTCTCCAGCACATGGGCTCTAAGCATCCTACTCAGGCTTGGTAGGAAGGTGCCTTTAACCTTGCTCAACTATCTTGCTGGGTGCTTTTAACCATGCTTTTTTTCAGGTCTTGCTTTGGCAAGGCTAGTCATATGAGAGAAAAAAAAAAAGATACCACTTTCTATAAAGGTATTATAAAATAGGCCAATCTATTCCTTTGTGGTGTAAATAGATTCCAAGAGGTTATAGGTTAGGGTCTTTTACTATCTGTGTGTTTCCCAGGTGTCCCACGTTGGTAGTTAGTAGTGGGCTGGCTACAATTCACAGACATTCTTTCTCCTTCCACTCTGAGAGCTGAAAGCCCTGGAAATCTTGAATTCCTCTCACCTTAGACCCTTAGATTTGACCCCAGAACTAAAACGTAAGTTAACTATAGAATAGTGTGCCCACAGTTTACTCGCCCACCTTCCTAGCTGCCTCCACAACCTGAAGCTAGTTAACAGATCTAGAGCTAGGTTATTCTAATCTTTTACAACTTCTCACTGTTTAAATAAAACAACAACAACCCCCCCCCAACTTCTCACGGTTTAACAAGATCACCACAACAGTTCCTAAGTATAAATAAAAGAAACAGAAGTTTCTCAAAAGGAAAAATGTTGCCACCCTGGAAGCCTCTTCGAAAAACGTCTGTTTAATGTAGATACAACAACTCTTCTCATGCCAAGACACAACATTAAAACCCATCTAAAGCTGGTCTACTGGAAGCGTGTCAGTAGCCACAGCTACTTAGGGTGAAGTAGTCAGATCATGGGAGCCCTTGAGTTTGAGGCTAGAGGCAAAAGAAGCGACAAGCCAAACCAGAAATAAGTTTAAAGAAGTAATTATCTAAATCTATGTGACCAAAGATGTAACAGACTGCCCAGAAAGACTGCAAAGAAGCTCCAATAAGCCAATTACGTATCAGTAAGGATTCTGAAACAAAGTCCCAGCACTCAGGATCTCTTGTTATAGCTTGTACTGGTCATTTTACAGTAAATCTTCAGTAATGGCTCATTTCATTGTGAACTTTTTTTCAAATGTTCTATAAGTTTCACAGAAAGATGTTTCCCTCAACACTAAGGCTCTCAAGTATCAAGGGCCCAATGCTGAGAAAAGCTTTCCAAAACCCCAATTTTTGCTTAAGAGCTATTTACAATCACCCATAGATACTGTTATTACTTGCCCTAAGACAACAAGCAGGTTTGTTGTTTTCAACACCAAGTCAGGGGTTGGAGTTGGCTCAGCAGTTGCGAGCACCAGCTGCCCTCCCAGAGGACCAGGGTTCCACATCCAGCGTTCTCAGGGCCCCTCCCAGGGCCCCTCCCTCACACCAGGCTCTGACTCCAGTCTGAGGAATCCAATGTCTTCTGGCAGCCAGGGCACTGCACTCATGGAGTGAAGACATTCCAACACTCATACATACATGTGCAGTTCAGGGAACACAGGAGATGACTCAGTAGTTAAAAGCACTTGCTGCTCTTGCAGAGGACCCAGTTCAATTCCTAGCACCCAGGTAGTGACTCACAATCACCTATTTCAACTCCAGTTACAGAAGATTCAACACCGCCTTGACCTCTGAGGGTATGCATACACCGACATGCAGGCAAAATACTCACATGTACAAAATAAAAATAAACCTAAAAACAAGTGGCTGGTTCTGCTCCTGAGACTTAATCACTTTTTTGGAGTCATATTAAAAAGACCTGTACACAGGGAGAGGCTTCATTTTTCAAACAACTTAGTTGGAACTCTTCTCTCTCTTTTAAACAGTCAGGGCAGAAAGGAATATAGCAGAGCTCTCATCCAGTTCACTCCAAAGAGTCACAAGTTGTGCTCACCATTGCTCTTGCACCATAGAAACAAACGTCAATACAGTAAGAAAGAGGGAAGGCTATCTTAGAGTCACAGTCATCACAATCATCACCATCATCATCAGTAGCAGCCTTGTACTCCCCAAAACATCTAAGCTACCTGCAGGATTCCTTAGATTATACTGTGAAAATCAATGTGCGAAATGATTCCTATTTAAACCTCCTCAAGTATGGGGATACAGATGTTATGTCAGTCCACATACGCTGAAGCAGGATAAAGGATGGCAGGTTAGAGGCCAGCTTGGGTAATATAATTTGCTTTTCTCAAAAGCAAGTCAACTGCTCCAAAATCACAGCTCACAAGCCACCGTTCATTGCAGTATGCTTTTCAAGGATCCTAAGTAATGCTGGAGAAGAGATGCTCGAGAGGGCAAGTGATACAGGAGTAACACTGAGGAGTCCTGTCTGATGACCTGTAACAACATTTACAAGTGAGACTTAGCCTCAAGTCCAACATCTCCATGTCACCTTGCCAGGGAAAGCAAGGAAGAAAAAGCTTCAGAGAAGGAAGATCGTGTTTTCCCAAAGCACCAGTGCAGTGGAGAACAGACTCTTCTCTCCTTATCTTCTGTATTGCAAATATTTTAACAAAATGGTAAAGCCAAACATCTGAAAACTCCCTAATACCAACACAGAGTTTGTGCAGTATCTCCAAATTAGAGAAATCCTAAGATTAACGAAAACTAGTAATAGGGAAACATACTTTTCCTTGTCCCCTTTTATCTGTATAGTACAAAATCTAAGACTTCACAGAGAGCTGGAGTTGTATTACTGAGAAGCTAACTCATTAGCTAGAAACCTCACGTCGTACCTGTGTCTAACGCATTAATGTCCTACCAGCACAGCAAGCTAACTTAGCACACGGAGTACTGAATGGATATACAGGGTACTGGCTGTCTAAAACTACTAAGTGGATGAGAAGAGTTTGCATTTGTAACAATTTTTTTTTAACTGAAACCTCCAGTTTCATTATGAGAACTTAGAAAGTCCCCCGATTTACTACAAAGTGATTAGTGCTTTGTCTAACAAGTGCAAAGCCCCATGTTTGAGCTCTTCTCTTGCAAATCATCATCGTGATTATGAAAAACACGTTGTAATGTGAGGATGAACTTCAGAGGACAATTAGAGCCCAGCTTAGCCCAACTTTCTACTTCCTCCCCAAGCTCCACTTGAAACTACTAAGTGGACAGAACATTGCTTTCATCTTTTTTCCTGTCACACAAGGCAAAGAGGAAAACCACAGGAGGGAGAGATAACCCACAAATGAAGCAATCAATTCCCTTTTTATTTTCAAAATAGGTATGGTTTAAGTAAAGAAAAAGATGCAGAGACACAGTCTCATATAACCCAGGCTGGCCTAGAACTTGCTGTGCAGCAAAGGCTGACAGAAGGTGTTTTGTCTTTGCCTCCTCAGATGCTGGGCAGAGACACAGCCTCATATAACCTAGGCTGGCCTAGAACTTGCTGTGCAGCAAAGGCTGACACAAGGTGTTTTGTCTTTGCCTCCTCAGATGCTGGGATTACAGGTACAGACCACCTCATGCTACGGCTGGGAGAAAAAAAATTACATAGTTGCTGAAATAAATTTTAGCTCTCCCACTTAAAACCGCCTTAACTCTGCAATGTTTGTAACAGCTGCTCTCTGACATCTCTGACTGACTATCTGCATGGCATATTCTAGGTCAATCCCCAACCCTGGGAGAGTTTACCCAGCAAGTTACCTTCTGAAGGCCTGACCTAGCTTGGACTGAACAGCTTCACCAATATAAAGTAGCACAATGATATGAAACAGTAACTAATAACCAGAACTCTTAGGAAGCAGTTAAGTATGTAAGAATTCAAACTCTCTGTAGTTAGAGAACCGTAGACATGAGTATATTTCCTAGACATGAGTATATTTCCATTCAAGCATCTCCAATGTAACCAATCTTAAGTACAATATTCCAGAATATTACCACTCTGTATAATAAAAACCTGATGGAAATTTTGTAATCTGTGTTGCAAATATTTTTAGAGAATTTGAGTGTACATTTAAAACATTGTAACATACCCTTATATTTTCCTTTCTTTCTTTGGTTTAGGGCCTTAATCAACTGCAGTGTACCCTTAATTTGAGCATTAGGAGTAAGCATAGCACTGTTTATGAAGTGTGAAAAATAAGTAAAATTCTTTTTCTTGATCAATTTTAAAATTGTGCTATTTTTAAGGTGACAAAAAATCCCCGATTAACTTTTTACAAAATACAAATTTTATTGCAAAATCTATTGCCAAAGGGATCAATCTTAGAATCCAGTCAAGTGGTTTCAAATAAAGGACAACAGATTACACAGCAAGTCGAACTTTTACTATAAATGGATAAATTCCTTCTAGTGTCTCTTTTATTTATGTGTACCAGAGTCTATCTGTGTGTGAATGAGCGTGCCTGCCTGTGGGTATCTGAGGAGACCAGAAGAGAGGCTGGTGGATCCCCTGGAGCTAGACTAGTGGTTGTGAAGACACTGGCACAGGTGTTGGGAACCCAATTCAGGTTGGGGACCCTCTGCAAGTGCAACAAGTACTCTTAACCCCTGAGCCATCTCCAGCCTTTTATTCTATTCTTTGTAACTACTGTTCCCAGTATATTCTTATGATTTCTAAGGAATTACTCTAAAGACTTTAGTCCTCAAGTGGTAATCAGAACCTTTCAACACCACTGCAAAATATCTACAAGTACTGCAAAGATTAGCTTCAGTATGAGACAGCACAATGCTGCTTACAGACAGTTGAATAAAAACTGTATCTAATGTTACAATGCACCAAGCTATGACTTAAGACATTGTTCTTCAAAAAAAAAAGAAAAAAGAAAGCAAATAGAAAC